GTTGCAAAAAAATTCTGGAATTGGGCTTCAGAAGAGAAAATGGCCCGAGTGATTAAAAAGCGTTCTATAATAAGGAGGAAAAAAACAAGTGCTGGGTCAGACCGAGTCAATGGGATCCGGGCCCAGCAAGCCTCATGAGTCCGGGTTGGAAAAACCCTAAAGTGAAGTCAGCGCCTCATTCAATTTTAAAAAGCTACTTCTCTGTTCTAAAATCCAACGCGAAACACTAACAAAAACTTGGCCATTATCGCTTCTGATTCCTATCTGAAAAAGAAAGAAAAAACCTTTTTTCCTTTTAACCCAAATCCCTCTATTCTCGAGCTCGCGATTTCAAAATAATTCCACAAATACCCAATCAAAACTGATAGAAACCATAACGATAATGCAATATGGAAACACGGATTTAGCAAGAAATAATACACAACGACATCAATGTTATCAAGACCAAACGAAACCTTATTTCAATTTGTATTCTGATTCAACGACAGACAATAATCATGACCAAACGAGAAGAGAAAAATGGGAAATATACCTTTGGCGAGGAGATTCTCGCAGGGATAAACAGGTACACCGTTTGTACTTTTTCTTCTTCTCCTTCCGACTTTGAGTATGCTGTAACTCTTATGCTTTTTTGCTGTTGAGTGACGTCTTGTTGTGTTCTTGTTGTGTTGTGTCGACTGGAGCTCTGAGTTTTTGATGTTGATATGTTGCAGATGAGATGAGGTTGATGTCTCGCGTCGAACTCGTATATTATCGAGTTGCTTAACCTGGGTGATGAATTGTTCTGCGTGAGAGTATGAAATGTGTATTGTTGTCTCTGTCGGATTGATGTGATGTAAGTTGTAGGTTGAATGAAGTTATGAGTTAAGGGTATTGTTGGTACTAACAGAGGTAGGGAATGAAGGTGTTAAAGGAAGGAATAATTGTTTTGAGTGGTCTACTAAGTTATGAGCAAAGGTTTTAGGTATGTTGGAGAGTGAAGTTTTTTTTGTTGTTTTCTTAGTGCACCCCTCCCTCTTTATTTTTGCGGTTTCTCTTCTTATATAGATAAGATTGGAATGATTTTTTTCTTTTTTTAGGGGGGGGGGGGGGGGGAACTGATGAGTTTTGAACAAATGTGGGTGCTCTGTTTTAGCTTTATTGATGTAGTTTTTGTATGTCCATTTTTGTGTAACTATTGGACTGATACAGAGCTATTTTGCAGAGTTGTTTATGGTCATTTTACAACAGGTTTTTGTGATGGTTGTGCAGGGCATGGCTTTGTCATAATGCAGCAGGTTTGTGCATTGGTTTTGGTGGACTGTGAGGTCACGAATTGGTGGTAGCAACAAGGCATGGTGTAGCTCTAAAGAAGAAAGGACGACAAGTCATGGCATAAAGGAAGCTTAGGACATGAGGATTAGGTTTAAGTTTTGTAGAATTATACTTGTAAAATGTAAATGAAACCCTTGATTTACATGAATGAATGTACCCTTTTAGACTTCTAATTTCCTTTTGCCTTTGATTTTCATGATAAAATCTTAAATTACCGAATCGTTTCCATTTCTTTCAAATTGAACCCTTTCTTTGATGGAGTGATGATAGAATAATGAAATTGAATTTTGGACATTGTCTTGAAAGTTGAATAATGATGAATTTCTTAAGTAAAATTGGATGAATACATGAACTATGCCTTGCCCAAAATATTTAACCTTTGAATTCTAAAGGACAAGAACTCCAAGAGTTCTATATAGATTTTTCTTTCGAAAACAGACTTGAATTAAATCATGCCATGAAATTTACCTTTCTTTTCAAAACTCTGAATTTTTCAATTATGAACTTTTTGCAAACTCACTTTGAATACTTAAAAGGTGTGCCTTGTACCGTCATTCACAAAATATTAAATCATCTCATCTTGCATCATGAATCGAACCAAACCTAAAAGGCTTTGAATGATCAACAGAAGAGGGCTTCCAGCAAAAGTTGTTGCATTGAGAAATTGGCGCCATGACTTGAAATTAAGAGTGGAGAAACTTTTAAGTCAGGAAAAATGACCTATAACATTTCACGGCCTTCTAAACACAATTTGACCTCGAGCTTCGAAGAAAAATTGTAGATGACATCAATTAGGACAATGTGCAAAAAGAATCGTCTCAAAATATTGGAAATTATGATCCTTGAAAGTTGGGTAATAACTACTTGAGATTATGTCAAAAACCACAAAGTGGTCTCTAAAGTATTCGATCTTTGGATGATCTTATACACATAATTGACCCCTAAGTTATAAACATAAATTAGAGAAGACGTCAAAAAGGAACCAAATGCTCAAAGAATCACTCAAAAATGTTGAATATTGAAGAAGTTATGACCTTTTGAACTTGATCTTCAAAAAAGACGACTTCTTGGTCAAAGTGCTTTGAATCAACTTGAAAACTTGATCCTTCCTCGCATTCTCATTCATATTGATGCACATGTGAACCATTAATGATGAAATCTTGATTGTGCTTTTGAGATTATAGGCTAAGCTCTAACGAAGTAGCCTTTGAGAATCAGTGATTCACCATACTTGAACAGTTGAGGGATCCAAAACCTTAACTGAGGTGCAACATCTGATACTTTTGATTTAGATCTGTCTCTGCACATGAAACCAAAGAAAAAAAGCATACACCTTTGTATTTGATTAGAAGTTAGTGATGCATAAGATAAGATGTTCACAACACTTGATAATCTCTACATAAACAATACTCGAAAGTGAGAGGATTAAAAACCAATCATATCGCGTGACCTTGATGTTACATGAAAATGCAAATGAAAGTGAGATCTTAGGTTAAATTTTGGGGTAGGACAATTGTGAATGGTATAGGGTCCTTTTGTTAGCACCATATCTCGATCGCTCATAGTTTAGAATTTTAGGATAAAATACTCTTCCTTATGGTAGTACATGTTGGGTAGTTGAATGAAACTCCAAGCTTTTTTCATGTATTGCTTCACGCATGCATACTCAAGTGCTTCCCTAGAGCATACATGACTAGGACAAATTCCTAGTATACCTTTTCAGATGCCACATCTTCTTCCTTAATTTCCACCTGCAGTTCACCATCAATGACTTTTGAAGCTATGAATTCAATGGTTAAACTATTTTCAGGACTAAGATTCTCACTAATTACGTCCACCCAGAGTTTCTTTGGAGGTTCTTCTGTAACTGTTGATGCATTCTTCAGAGCATCATTTACCTCTACTCCTCCAATTTCTTCTTCATTGACCTCTTTTTCCTCTTCATTCTCTTTTATACTTGAGTCTAGGGGTGTGCATGGTTACCATATTTTAAGAACCAATCTATTTTAATGGTTGTAGTTTTAAAACTAAACCATTTTTTATAATAACCAATTTAAAATTACAAAATGGTTTCAATTCGGTTCAAAACCAGTTTAAATCGGTTTTCAATCAAAATTGATTTATAAAGAAATTGTATCTTTCTTAATTTGAAGAGACAAAAAAAATTCAGGTTAATGAAGGGAACAAGATGCAAATGCATGTGTCATTTTTATACTATTATATTCAAACACCAGCACAAATCATTTTTCACACTTTTTTTGAAAAGCAAAAAAGTAAAATTCAATTTAAGAGTAAAAACATTACACTTTAATCTATGATAAAGTTGTACCAGAACACTAAAACTAGAACCCAAAAAAACTAAAACTAAACATCCTAAAACCAAGACAAAATATGTTTCAAAACAATTGCTACACTATAACAGTTAAACAAAAAAACACAGATTAACAATCGTTCATCACAATTAACTTAATAAGTTTTTCTTCCCTTAACTAATCACCACTTTAATTAACTAATTAATAATAAACAAAATAAAATATATAAACTATTTTTTCATTTTCAATTTGAATATTATATAAATTGATTTACACGAATTTGAATTTCCTGTGCCTTAATAATATCTTATTCATTAATAATAATATCATATACATTTGGTTTTATGTATGACAACTGGTTATCAAAAACGGAAACCAAATTTTTGTTTTGATATCAAAATGGATCTGGAGCGGTTCACATCCAACACAAATTGGATTATAAAAATTGGTGCACAAAATTTTTAAAATTGATTCGTGTAAACCAGTTTTTTTGCACACCCCTACTTGAGTCAATACTACTATCAAGAAAGGTCTCTAACCTTAGAGCTTGGAATTTAAACTATTCTCAATTCGAATTCGTTGAAATCGAGAGATATGTAACTTGAAACTACAACGAAGCTAAACCACCGTGTCGGAGAACACTGCTAGAATAGGGAAACAACACTTCTCATAAATCGTTGTCGGAAATCATCAAAACTAGTTGTTACTAAATTTTTTCCTTTTATCATCTAGTTAAATTAAATTTAAAAATATTATAAAAAAATTTATTCAAAAAATTAATTAATTAATTTTTAATTTTCAATTTTCAAATTTAATATTTTTATATTTTGATCTCCATTCTATTTAAAATATTAATGTAACCCTATTTAAATAGATAATTTTAATATAAAATGTTTAAAAAAAATATTTAAACATAAATATTAGATCCATCTATCTAGACATTGTAACATGAATGGAAGATAAAGCCTTCCCTCATGTTAAGAAAATATTAGATGTAAGATTATCATTCTATAAACGGTTAAAACTATCTCTATGAGATCCGGAACATTTGAATTACCGTCTAATTAAATCTAAGAATAGGAACTATGGAGGAGAGTCGCGTTTTTTATGCTATGCCTTTTGTTAAGGCTTTCATTGTGGGTCCCTGAACGTTGTTTTTAATTTAATTATTATTTATTTAAAAAGAAAAAAGAAAATAGTGAGTGGAAAGATAAAGCCTTCCTCATTAGTTTGGCACGCAGTCTTTCACTATTCCGTCAGCTCGTAATAATTCTGTTTCTATATAAACCCCCCTCTCTACTCCTCATACCTCACACTTCACCTCTTTTTTCTAACTGTTTCTTCACTTTCATTGAAACAAAAAATTGATCAAAGATGGCTATGAGATCTGCTGCTTCCACCTTGCTCTCCGCTTCCACCATCATCACCAGAAACTTTCATGTATGTTCAATTTCTTCACATCTTAATTTCATTCTATATCCAATTTGATCCTTTCTTAGTAATCAATTTAGCGATCATACAAATAAATTTGGTAACCCAACTATTTTGATAGTTATCCATAAATGAAGATGTGATCTGGTATCTGTCATTTTCGTTTCTCTTTCTTGCATGCACGCAATGCCACTCCATTTTCTCTCTCATACTTGACTCATCGATAATCGAACATTTTTCTGTTTTCTCTTTTTTCTTTCTGTTTTGAGAACAGGCCTCTCCTGGAAAGAAGAAGATTGTAGGTGTTTTCTACAAAGGCAATGAGTATGCTGCATTGAATCCAAAATTTGTGGGATGTGTTGAAGGAGCATTAGGTATACGCGAGTGGTTGGAATCACAAGGACATGAATACATTGTCACTGATGACAAAGAAGGACTCAATTCTGGTAAACATTTTGCCTAAATTAATCCACCCTCTTTGAAGTCGTGTTCGGTGTCCGTGTTTGTGCGTCTGACGTGTAGTAATTAAAGTCATATGTTTACTTATGATTTCAAGCATTTATGATTGCTTCAACTTATGACTCATTGTTGTTATGTTATCAGAACTTGAGAAGCACATTCCTGATCTTCATGTCCTGATATCTACACCATTTCACCCTGCCTATGTTACTGCCGAAAGAATTAAGAAAGCTAAGAATTTAGAGCTACTTTTGACTGCCGGGATTGGTTCTGATCACATTGATCTCAAAGCTGCGGCTGCTGCTGGTTTAACCGTCGCAGAGGTCACAGGAAGCAACACAGTATCTGTTGCTGAGGATGAGCTCATGAGAATTCTCATTCTCATGAGGAATTTTGTGCCTGGTTACCATCAGGCTATTACAGGAGAATGGAATGTTGCTGGCATTGCACATAGAGCCTATGATCTTGAAGGAAAGACAATAGGAACGGTTGGTGCTGGGCGTATCGGGAAGCTTTTACTCCAAAGGCTGAAACCTTTTAACTGTAACCTTTTATATCATGATAGACTCAAGATGGAGCCTGAATTGGAGAAAGAAATTGGAGCTAAGTTTGAAGAGGACGTCGATGCAATGCTTCCTAAGTGCGATGTAATTGTTATCAACACGCCTCTCACTGCTAAGACAGAGTATGATTTTAATACTCCAATATATTCTGTTCATTGTGATTTATTGGTGAAACATGGTGTGGTAGCTGTTTAAGCAACAATCCTGACTCAAAAGTAAACAGATGTAAAAATTAAAATAGGTAGCACACAAGTTTTGTTCACGGAGTTTGGCCGATGGTGCCTAAGTCTCCCGACTAGAGAGTGGCTGCAATGTCATTCTATTATTCAAGTTCATGGTTACAAATCACAACTTATGTTTAAGTGCTTCTGTTGAGTTTACACCCACCGGAAACTGAAGTTTTGTTGTGTTATGTTTGTGATTCAGAGGAATGTTTGACAAAAATAGAATCGCCAAGTTGAAGAAAGGTGTCTTGATTGTTAACAATTGCTCGCGGGGCAATTATGGACACACAAGCAGTTGCTGATGCTTGCGCTAGTGGACACATTGGAGGTAATTCTAAAACCAGAGCTGGCAAATATAGTATTACCAACAAAACATAATCCTATAGTGTAACACTTGAATTTCATTTGAACCATGTTTGAAGTAATGTAACACAGCAGAGTTTCATCTTATAGGTTACAGTGGTGATGTTTGGTTCCCTCAACCAGCTCCAAAAGATCATCCATGGCGCTACATGCCAAACCATGCCATGACTCCTCATATTTCTGGAACCACCATAGATGGACAGGTAGTTTAGTTTTTGACAAAACTACTTCACTTTAGTTCTTTATCATAACTTCTAGTTTTGAGGTGGTCCTTTAAATTATTATTTTTCTCAATTTAGTCTCACATATTCCTAAACATTAATTGAGACACAAGTTGCTTCTTCTACAAGGAGAAATGCAAGCATGCTATTGACGAATTTGTATTGAATGCGGTCAGCAATTCCATACAGGGAGTATACATATGGTCATTGGATTGCGATTAGACATTGAATTGTCTACGAGGGCCCTTTGATCTCGATCCAAGGACTACTTATATGACGACTGCGTGGATGCTCAAATCCAGAAAACTGATGTAGAAAACTAATACTGTTAATGTTTTAGAACATGCAAGAATAATTGAAGAAAAAAAAAGTTAAAAATGAAAGACTACATTCTCTAGACATTAGCATACCCTTTTACTTTGGCCAAATTCCTTAACTACATTTTTTTGATGATGTTGATGATTGGAACTTGTTCAGTTACGCTATGCTGCTGGAGTCAAAGATATGCTTGAGAGGCACTTCAAGGGTGAAGACTTTCCCAAACAGAACTACATTGTGAAGGAGGGTGAATTAGCAAGCCAATACCGGTGAATGAAGTAGTATCAAAGAGTTGTTCTGAGTCTTGTATTTTTAAGGCCAGTGGATTCTACTAAATAAAGATATGCGCGGCTTTGTAATAATGTACTCAGCTTTGTTGAGGTTGAAACTTGTTTAATAAAAACTGTAACGGACACAAGTATGATTCTTGTGTTTTCCTGAGTTTCAATGTACTAGTAGTATTTAGTGTATGTAAGTGTTTGAGTCATGAATCCAGT